GCAATTGCTCCTGAGAGGAGCGCTGTTTCGTGAAGGCACGGGCAGATTGCCAAGGCTTTACTGCCCCATTGCCCTCCTGTAGAGCTCATCTTCTTCCCACTTGTAATCAGCAGAGAACGAATCTATGGTACCCCTGCAGAGGAGGTGGCCATAGGGAGGACACTCGGTTGTCCAAAGGGGCCACCACACCACTGCTGAGCCTCTTCCCAGCACCTGCTGGTGCTCCCAAGTGCGGTCTGGCTTCCTTGCAGGGCAGCTGCACCTCACTGTGCTTGCTCTTCTAGCCCAATTCTTACTCTTCATTCAGACAGCTATAGAAACTAGGTGGACAGGCCTCCTTAAACAGGCACGGATGAGCCCAGCTCCCATTAGAAAAGCTCTTGGATTCATAAGAGACCATGGGGATAAACCTTCAAGTGCTAACCAAGAGATGAAGCCTAGGACAGCGCTATGCACAGCTAACCGAGGGCAGAACTGCTGCTTTTSATTGCTGTATTGATGTCACATGGAGCGTGAGCAGATGCATTTTTGCTAGTTTTAAAAACCCTAAAGGATAGGCTAATCATCCGAAGGACAATGAGGAAATCAGCCGAAGTGGCTGTGTATTGTGTTGCTGCCAAAAGGGGAAATGAACATTGAAGACACATGAAACGGTAGGAAAAGTGGCAGCAAGTGCAGGACTGAACAACTGCTGGTCTTCAGACACTGAGAAGAGAAACCAGTGTAGAGAACAGCTGAGGAACAGTGAATCTGAGCAGTTGCAGCTGAAGAGTGTAGAGAAAGATGCAGCCTCAGGGCTGAATACTGAAAGGCTGGTCAAGGCAACCACAAGRAAAACAGAAGATAACTAGATCTGGAAAACAAACATACCTAACAAAATAGTTGTGCAATAGTTTTTAGATTGCAAGGTGAGAGCTTTTAAGTGAGGAAACTGGGTTAGGGATGCTGCAGCTGTTGCTRTCCCTGCAGCAAGAGGCCTGTGCCTAGCCACTGTGCAGCACTTCACTGCCATGAACCTTCAGCAGTGACCTACACACTGGCCTTCCTGTTTCATTTAACTCTAGGCACCATCCTGCTGCCACTGTTGTGAATCCAGGGGCAAGGGAGTGAACAACATTCGTTCATGAGCTTGAAGCGGCCCAGAGGGACACTGATGATACTTCGCTTTGGAAAACTTTGCTTTCTCCTTCCCCTTTTCAGGGCAAACCCAAGGCTTTGGGCATTCCTTTGCTGGTTAATCCATTTCCTTAATGCCTTGATCCCCACATGGAGGGATCCCTTGATCCTGAAAGGAAAAGGAGAACATTTGAATGAGCTGTCACCCATCTTGGACCAACCTGGTCAAGGGACCAGCTGCAGTTCCTGCATTCACCCTTCCACCTTCTTTCTTTGTAGAGAGCTGTAGAGATCTGTAGCATAGAGACATGCTACAMTCTAAGGATGTCGGGCCATTCCTTTATATCTGATATAAATCATGTGCATTAGACTTCCAGCTTGTTGTGCATAGGAGGTTTTTATCTATGTCTCCTAACGTAAACCCACTCCAGGCCTACAAACACTGGCAGAGAGCCAAGAGCCTACAGAAAATCAAYAGGAAGCACTTAAGTATCGGCAGGAACCCTGCCTCCCCTACTGTAATCTGCTTAGATGGGGCTGAAGTGACTCCTTTGCAGAAGGACCCCAAGAGCACCCACTGATGGGTTACAAGAACCCAGGCACGACCCAGAGGGGAGAGACAATTGCAGCTAATGCTGTGAAATGGCTCCTCTGTTTAATTAACTGCTTTGGAGCGAGCAGTCGAGAAGAGCAGAGCGCTGCTTTGCACGCTGACCTGATCACGTCCCGAGGGAGACCAGCCAGGAAGTTGGTTGTAAACCCTTGGCCTAGTCTTTACTGATCCTCAGTAATTAATCAGGAAAACAGCCAAATGTGCACTGAGGGAATTCAAAGGAGGGGTTGTGATTGCCCTGGCTGTCTTGTGCTTGGCCAACAGCTCTCTTTGCATGGTGGCATGAGCAGCAGCTGAATGGGAGCCGGGCTTCCCACAGCCACGTTGCGTGGTAGAAGGGCACAGCGCATGGGAGTGGAGTTTAGGAATAAACAAGGAATCTCCTGCTGTCCTGAAGGAAGGTTGGAGTGTGGTTAAGCCAAATAAAAATGGTTACACAGAAGCCCTTATCACCTCCTCAACTGCCAAGATCTCCTGAACCCATGTGCCTTCTCCTTCCGTTCTGTAAACATCATCAAACCAATTAAAGCAAGGGGACCCAACAACTTTTTAAAAACAGTCATTAACTAGAAAGTCCAAGCAGGTTTCCCGCTGGCTGCAAGGAGGTTCCAGCTCCTTGGTCGTGGCTGCGTTGTCCCTGAGGTCTGTCGGGTGTCAGAAGTGTGCTGAGATGAGAKCAGCGCTCCATGGCCATCCTCCCACTGTGCTGAGAACGGTACCCACCTYATGCTGGCATGGAGAGTCCATTACCTGTGCTGCTTCTTAATTTAAGAATTATGAATATAATGCTAGGTGGCTAAACGTCCCTGCTCTGGCTCTGTCCATGGGAGGAAGGATGCAGCCCAGCACCACGGCCACTGGTTTTGTATTCATGCCATCTAGTGAACAAATGGACGAAGTGAAAACTTCCCTCTAGCAAGCATGAAAACAGGTCCCAGCAGGACACGACTGATGGTGAGAGGCCTTTGCCACTCTGCCTGCCCCCCTGCTCACTTGGGAAACAGCCACCAAACCCATCCTGGAAGAGCAGCTGGCACGGCAGGCTACAAGCAAAAGCTTTCAGCGTAGCAAGGTGTGGATGACTTTAGGCTGGAGCCAACAGCTCGTCTCCAGCTGTCCCACAGCAAAAGAGGGAGAACAGAYGTGGTATTAGTGGAGAAGTAGGTTAGGTACAAGGCTCGACCCAGTCTTGCGGAGACTTGCAGAGAAGRTAATGAGGGGAGCTGAGAATGATGATTCTTTAGCTGCAATTTTTCAGGAGAAAATATTTCTGTTTTTATAAATGAACTAAGTTTTTTTCCTTTTGCTCTGTTTTCAGCRTTGCACTAGGGCAGTACGGCAGGTAACAGTTATTTCTGGAATACACAATACCTCCCACATATTTATAAATAAAGCATCTTCACGGTTGAAGCTCCCCTCAGGCAATGCCAAGGACATGCAGATTAAAGTAAACTACTCCCATGAATCTTCTGGGATACACTGAGTGAGGCTGTTTCTGACCAGCGCATCCCCAGAGACTGTGCAATGCTGGTACAAGGAATCCCAAGAGATTGCAGAATATGTGGCAACAGCTACTTGCTTGCTCATGGAGCAAGGAGACAAGTGGTTTCACGCTTTGCTCTTGTCCTTCTCCCGCTGCAGTGCTGCCTGTGTAAATCAACATGCACTCACCGGCTTTTCTGGGTGGTGAGATGTGTCCTGCTCTGCCTGCCACCACTGCACCCTTTGCACTGTAGCCCACACCCCAGCTTGCACCCAGCACCACCAGCTCTGCCCACAGACACAGCTCCCTCCCATTTCACCACCTTGTGTCCAGCTTACTGCATTGTCCAACAGCCGGTATTGCATTTTTAGCGCTGAATTCAAGGTGGAAGGTGGCAGGCTCTGGAGCAACTTTCTGAAAATTACGGCAGGACCACACCAACTTCACCCAAAGGGTCCTGGACCAGCACGTGCCCTGTCTGGTGCAAGACACCTGCATAAAAGGAATCATAGTTACACCTTCAAGTAAGATCCTTAAGCAGAAAGTGAAAACTACACAGGCTCTGCAGTCAGCTAGAGGTGCTGGGAGCTTTTCTGAGCAGGCTGAGGGTGAGCAGCCAGGAAGCTGGAGAGATATCCCCGTGGCCGTGACACAGTGAAAGACGCAGTTCGAGTCTTGGCCCCATAATCTGTTCCCAGAATCCAAGCACCCCTCAGCAAGGGTAGCATGGCCTTGAGCTGAGGAGATGGGGACAGCCCTAGGACCTCCTTGTCCTGGCAAAACATGAGGGACATATCTCTGGCTTCTGTTAAAGCCTGGGAAGTTAAGCAGAAAAAAAAAATAAAGTAAAAAACATACAGAAGTGGTTTTGCTCTTCAGACAGCCCATGCCTTCACGGGTGGAGGTTCAGGCCTGGCCAGGCTGCAATGCTCCCTCTTCACCAAGCAGCGTCACCCGTGGACTATTTGAACACGGAGCAAAGCTGCTCTGGGAACTACAAGCRCTCCAACAGCTCCTCCAAAGTTTCCCTGTTGTGGCAGAAACGTTAATGCTGCAGAACTGCAGCTGATGGCAATAYGTTTTGGAAGCAATCAGCTGCATTTAAAAACAGGAAGTGCAGCCCGGCAAGGTTCAGACCCTTAAACAAGCTCTGGAGGAATGTGTAAGTTGGTAAAAGTTGGGCTTGAGAAGCAAAACCTCACCAGGGATCACGCAGGAAGTCAGACACATGCCCGCGTTCCTCAATCTGTTACTTTATTAGAATGCTCTTTACATCACAGTGGTGGCCCCAGCAAAGACACTTTACAAAATATTTAAAAAACTTTTATTCAAAGCCATATTAAAAAAGAAAATAATCTGTTCCCCCCCCTCAAAAATAAATTTGGTTTATTCTGGTTACTTCTGAACAGCAAACGTCAAAATATCCTTTTTTTAAAGGGGGAAAAATATCCACCTTGTAAACATTGCYATGGCAAGAGGTGCAGCCTGCCCTTCTCCAGGAGAGGGGTACAGTGCGCAGGGCCAGGGGACCCAGGAGAAGGGAAAGTGACCAGGGACAAAACCATTCCCACCCTTTTTGACAAAAGAACCGATTCCAGGCCGCAAAATGAGCTCGAGTGGAGGAAGGGACAACCAATTTACAACAGAGGGAGATCACATCAGCTCTTTAAAAGCCCCCAGCAACGTCCTCCTTCCCCAGGGCTGCACAATATCCAGAGTACTGAAGCGCACAGGGCTGCTTCAAGAGGGCACTGCAGAGGGTAGGAAGCGTTTTGGCTGGACGAGGTACGTTCTGAACAGTGTACAGAGGTGCCCTTCTGCACACTGTGCATGAGGGCTGCCAGGCTCTGGCTTCTCTGACAACAACCATTTCATATCCTGTCTCCAGGCTCATCCCAGGGGACTGGGAATTAAATCCCAGGGGCTGTCACCACACATTTCTAGTGCTATTAGAAAGCTGAGACCAACACATGCCTGTTTGGAAGCAGCCCTCTGCATTTATTTGTTCTTACATCAGCTCCCCGGCTGACACGATCAGCACATCCCAAAGGTACAGATGCTGCTTTTGGAGATGGGACAGGTCAAAGTGAAGGTTAGTTACTGATTTTTTTTAAAGCCAGTCTGCTTGYAAAGGGTCCCAGCCCTTCCATGGCTATCTAGACTGCCTATGTTTTCTAATGAAGACATTAATGGTGTGAATTCACAAGAAACTTTGGACGGCCCAGATAGATGCTGTCCCTCTGGTTTGCATGAAGCCTGCAGATATGTATTACAAAGTCTAATTAGGTAGTAAATGCCTGAGATAAAGAGGTGTTAAAGACCTCGGAGGCCAACCACTTGGGCTAAGTACCAATACTTACCAATACAGGCCAATAAACTTCATACACCTTTTCCTGAAATGCCAGTGTGCCCCTGAATCAACATATGCGATTTTAAGATATCTTTTTTTTTTCTCAGTAGAAACAGCCTTTTTTATTATTATTTTTTTTTTCTTGCTAGGAAAGCAGTATAAAACAAACAATGTGGTCAAGAGATCAACAGAAAAAAAAAAACCTAAGTGCTACCCCATGCCTTTGGATCACTGTGTTTGGTAAAGGACTGCCCAGTGAGGTCACTGTCCTCTGCTCTGGGTCCTACCCAGAAGCTCAGCCAAGCAGTGGCTTGTGCAGGTGGAGAAGGGCAGTCTAACAACATCACCATGCAGCAGAGAGAAGGACATTGGACTGGACATGCCACTCTTCCTTTGCTGCAAGCAGAAAGCAAGGAGAAGCATCTAAGATAGACCGTGGCACATCTTAAGGAGATAAGACATCAACGAAAAAAGAAGTCACACTGAGAATATCAAGCGAGTTTGAACTCTTTCCTCTTCCTTCCCTGGCATGACTTACTTCAAGACTCATTCATTCTTTTTAAACCATGCTTTGCAGCCTGTACCCTTGATAGCAACCTGTACCCTTGATAGCAACGTGGCCAGGTGGCTACATGGTCCATGCTTATATGGCACTTAGCAAAGCTCAAGCAGGTGTGTATGACTGCAAGAGATCTGGAAATAAAATCCTTCCCTCTTCCCTCTTCTTATGTGCCTTGACCAGCAGGCACATACATAATCATGACCGACACCTTACTGTGTCACCGCAGACCTGGACACCGCTACAGGGTTCTCCCTCAGCACATACACACTTGGTTAACATGCAGAAGCCTGCTGAGCAGCTCAGCTATGACTTGCACGTTGCTGGCTGTGAGCCTGGGGGCCTGACTCTTCAGTGCTCTATTCCAAACTCTCGTCAGATAGTGTCAGGTAGGCGCCAGAGGGATGGGGTGCCAGCAATCAAGGCAAAAAAAGAAGGAGGGGCATCTTCTAAAGCAAACCCAGCCAACCCACTTCCTGCATGGCCTGTGCTGGGAAGAAGAGGGGAAGAAAAAGCACAGCCTCCTCAAAAGGAAAAAAAAATCCAAACCACCATGTCTGCCTTGAGCAAAGAAGGGCCACAGTAGGTGAAAATAACTCTTCCATGGCAAGTGATGGGGGTCCACAAGGCCAAGGTCAGCTCAAGACAAGGTCAAAGCTGCTTTGCCACAGACAAGTTGTTTACCCTGATGCAGAGGACCAGGAGGACAAGCAGCTACAGCAAAAAGAGGTTAATAACCACTGGACAGAGTACAAGAGCTGCTGCCCATTTCTCCTCTTCAGAGCTGTTATTGCTCAGTCAGGGCTGACAAGCCCAGTGAGCACCAGGCTCAACATAAAAGGTGATGCATTCAGTGAACAGTGCAGGAAAGATCACAGGAGATGCTCCCTCCCAGGCTTCCCATTGCGGAGTTGTGCTGGGCAGACCAGTCCCTGGAAGAGCCACCAAAACTTCCAGTCAACCTTCTGCAGCTTAAGACAGAGGCTGTGTTTATCCCAGATGGAGCAAGGAGAGCAGGATGATGCTGTTCTAAGGAGATGCTGGTGAGAGGGTCTTCCAAGTCTGCCAGCCACTAGGGGTTACAAGCTTTCTGCAGAGCTGAATGGGACAAACTTGGCATGTTTGTTTGGGGATGCTGGAGTCGGTCCATCTGCCTCCTCACTCAGCTTGAAGAACATCTCCTGTTCACGCTTCTTTTGGTTCAGCTCGTCCTCCAGAGCCTTAAGCAAAAAGTAACACACACAAGAGATGTAGTGGTGGTTATAGTGGAGCTATGGACACTACCCCCCCCAGCAGCTGAGCAGGACATTCTGCTCACACAGAGGAGGCACTACCTTCTTCCGTGGCCTCAGCATGTCCCGCCACTCCTTCATGTGCTGGTTGTGATTCTCATCCAGGGATTTTAGCTTCTGYGTTTCATGTTCAATCAAGAGGTGACACTTTTCATTCTGAACACAAACCACATGATAAAACACCCCTTAAGTATACAGGTCCAGAGAACATAAACCCCGTGCTCTAAGGRGACTTGCATCACTCAGCCAGCGGCATTCAGAGCTCTGAGCTCCAGGGCACATTTAGCCACAAAAGCCTCTAACAGACGAGCAGGATGACATTGGTTCTAATGCACTGGCAATTCTCTGCAGCCACCCTTCTCTGTACAGGTTGTGCAGGGGACTAGTGGTGCTGTGCAAGCTCACCTGCAGCTGCTGGAGCTCGTTCGTGTTGCTCTCACACTGGGCAAGCATGTCCTTCATCTGTGTCTCATGTTTCTGCTGCTGGTGCTGCCGCTCTGCCTTCTGCCTCTTCTCTTCCTGCTGAGCAAACTGGAACACAGAAAAATGGGTACCTATATTAACAGTGCTGCTCTGATCTCTGAAATTGGTTAAGAGACTAACGTTATTATCTAGAGGCAGTTAAAAAAGAAGCCTGCAAAGTAAGGGGGAAATTCCTTCCCTCTGCTCACATGGCGAGCTGCACTGAAATCCATTCCTGATGCCACAAAAGCAGACAGTGCCAACACCCTGCACTGGGTTAGACACCTGGGATCAGTAGCCTCTTTCCTCGCTAACCTCCATTCTGCCAATGGGACAGTAAAACACTTCATCCTCAAGCTGAGCCTCAAATTGATGCCCTTTGCAGAACCTGACCTGTTTTATCTTCTCCCGCTGCTCGGCTGCACTCCCGCTGGAGTGGATGTGAAGGCTCTTCTTGTACATGGCCATGCGTGTCTTCCCTTCACTCCTCTGGATTTTGGGGAGCCGGGCCTTCTCCTGCTGCTGCCGAACTTTCAGCTGCTCTATCATGCGTTGGTTGTATCGCTGCATTTGCTCCCTTTCCTGCAAGAGCACAAGAAAAATGATCAGAGAAGTCAGAGCAACAGGGAAGCTGCTGAGGAGACTGAAGGGAGCTAGAGAGCTCTGCACACAGGCGCAAGACTTGGGAGCTGCATAGGGTAGCTGGAGACAGGTATCTCCTTGGGGAGAAAGGAGGGAAAGAAGTGAGGGCAGCTGGTGAACCGGCTGCCAACGCAGAACAGGAGAAGGCTCAAGGGAAGCAGAAATGACTGCGAGATCTGCCACGCGGTGCCCACCAGCACACAGCACTGCGGGAGGAAGGAGTTAACTCTTCACCTTCTCATGCTTCCGGAGCAACTCATGCCGCTGGAGGAAGTACTGGTCCTTCAGCTGCTGCTTGACAAGCTGGTGCTTCTCCTGCTGCTGATGCTCTTCAAGATCCCAAATGCAGGCCTCACGATCTGAGCAAGGCAGAAGAGTCAGGAGAAACCCCTCCCTGGCATCCTGGCTTGGCCGCACGCGGCGTCCCAAGCACAAGCAAACCCTACCCGCAGGAGCAGCGCAGCACACGCAGGGGGTGATCACCCACCACCTGCTCTGCAAGAGAAATTGATTGCTAACCATATTGGAGAGGCATTTCTTGCAATTAAGAAACCTAATTGGTTCATATTTGTAAAGTGCTTTGAAGATTAAAGCTTTAAGTATTATGATTGTTAAACATTTAGACAGGGTCTGGCAAGGATGTTTTTTTTTCTAAATCCTGCCCTGCCAGCTTGCAGCTCTGTCACAGCATCTGCTGCGTGGGAAGAGCCAGCATCAGATAAACCTATTGCTACAGCATTTGGTTTCTTCTTCTTCAGCTTTTGCCACCCACCTCTCATGAGCTGCTGCTTTTTGTTCAGGCACTCGCGTTCCTTGTCACAAATCTCTTTTTTGTTCTGGGCTGTTATATTCTTCATGGCCARCTCCAGATCCTCTTTCTGCTTGGCCAAAAACTCCTGTTCCTGGAAGAAAACAGCAGTATCACCTTGAGCTCTCCTTCCTGCTACAGCTTGGGCAAACATCTGGTGGAATTTTAGCATGTGCCAATCCCGAAAGGAGGGAGGTCAAAATGATGCATGCTTCTGACTCCTACAGTCYTCCCACTCCGAGTTGGAGCAATGCCCTCCCTCAGCCTTACCATAGTTTGCTTCTTTTGGGAAAAGTCGTCCATCTTCACCTTCAGGTTTCCTTTCCTTTGTTGCCGAGGCAATTTTTCAACCTCGTTCTTGACCTTTAGGGGTAGTAAAGGAGATTTATCAGCAGGTAATTTTGGTTTAAACACAACGCCACCTAATGTCCCCAAACAGCTGCATCTCAGGAATCATTTGAAAATATCAAATAAAAGAGCTTCTTGCCAAAACACCAGCAAACACTTTCCTCTCAAGATCTACTGTGGAGAAATACTGATGCTTTCCTGGAAGAAACAGATGCAGGGAACCGTCTTTCCTCCACCCCTTTCCCATGTTTACCTCCTTCTTCATCTGCTTCAGCTGCTCCAGAAATTTGGTATGATCCCGTTCCTGCTCCAAGCGAATGCGCTTTGCCTCCTCTCGCCGRCGCAGCGAGTGATCTTGTTCCATCTTCTCGATCTGCTGCTTCTGCTGACGTTCAAGGTTCTCCAGTTCGGTGTCGTAGAATTTCTTCTTTGCCTGTATGGGAAGGAAACATGGGTCAGCCTCAGCCTCTTCTTTACTTCCTTCCAAATGACAAAAAGAAAAAAAAAAAAAAAGGAAAAAGTGAAATCTCTGTATGAACTGAGGCTCTTTAAGGCAGAAATTTCCAAAAATGACACTTGAAGCATACAGAGCAGAACTACTGGTGGGAGCAGGAAACATTCAAATTCTCATGTTGATGCACTGGAATCCTCTCTCCTTGCTCGAGTCCTGATCTACAACATCCCACTGGGACCAGCTGCTSTGGTAAAACCATTAGCACACAGTGCCCCAGCAGAACGTTTCTCGCTCTGCAGATGCAGCCTTGCAAGTCTAAGCGCTGTGCTCTCCAGCAGCCCCTTTGCATCTCTCTCCTCCAGCRGCACAGGCAGAACAGGCCAGTGTTAACGGGGGCAGCTTGCTAAGTGCCACAGGGAAACTGCCCGGAAGCACAGGCAGGGGTTCTACACGTTGCACAGCGCTGTGAACATATCTTACAAATGAGAAGTGACTTGCTTGGGTGGGAATTCACAGATGTGGCATGKCAAGGCTTTAGAAATGTAAGAGAAACAGGAACTGAATGATGTTYCTGTCACCCTGCCAGGAGAAGACAGGGTTACTGAGCGTGCATACTAGGTGAATTAAGAAAGAGATATTTTAAAGATGGCTCAGGAAAGTTTTAAAGTGACTTCCCTACAGATAATTCTAACATAAGCTCCCCAAAGAAAGATTAAGTATTTAAACTCTGTTGATCTTTATTCAATTTATGCCCAAAGACTTTCCAGTTTTTCTGCTCCCACACCCTGGCCGTTCTGCTTTCTTATTTAAAGTGTCCTTTCCTGTGAAATATAGGAACAATGTGCTACAATCTGTTTCTCACAGTAGTCTCAAACAGATAATATAAGGAAAARGCATTAAAGAGGGAAAGTCCGGAGCACTCCTTCCTCTGCTACACCCTCCTGGGCCATGGCCGTTAGTGCTTGCTATGCTGCACATGCTGAATGCCCACAAAAGGCTCCATCCTCAGCACATGCATCCAGTCCCTCAAATCCCAAAGGGTTTTCTCAGCTTTCCGTGGACATGACATCCCAGGACTGCTGCAACCCAGACAGTGCTGTCTTGTGGGTGGGTCTGCGGGGCATCTGCAGAGGAGAAGCCAGACCAACTGCTGCCCAGGAGCTTCCGTGCCCACGTACCGTCAACTCTTGCTCGAAGCGCCTGAACATTTGCTCCAGCTGCAGCTGGTGCTTGCTGTTGAGCTGGGCCTGGTTTCGGTGCTCCTCTTTCTGAAGGAGACGCAGCTCCCGCAGCTCCTGGCGCCTATGGAGAATGCAAAAGGAGGACAAGAGAAAAATGCAGTCAGACAAGTTCAGAGTGATGCACCTGAGCAAAGACGGCAGAATCAATGACCAGGGCACTACAGCAGTAAATGAGAACTGCACGGCCATCCCTTAGCACTGCCACTCTCGCCTTGAGCACAAGCAGGCGAATACTGCCAACTGACGGGCTCCTGGCTCTGTGACACCAGGTCGCTGCGGGAAGCAGGGTGTTAATTCCATTAACTGTTGGCCAACTCAGTTTTCACAGGGAAGCCTATTGCCATTTAAGTCTTTGCAAGCAAGCCTTGACACACCTCCTAAGGTGATTCTGCAGGCAATACTCTGCCAGCTGAAATCTGAGACACAYGTCCTGCCATCCACTTGAGCATATACTGGTCTTCAACATGCAGCACAATGTCCCCCCTCGATCCCATGCTGAGCRCCCCTTCTTGCTTGTAACAGGATGGCAAAAAGGGCAGTTTCTCTAGGTTCAGACTTACATATGCAACACTCCCCTCATCTATTCATGCAGCTTTACATCCAGTGAAAGGGGGTCTCTGCCCAGCATCTGAGCCCGTTTGAAAAGTCTATGCCCAAGTGAGCGGTAAGTCACTGATGCATCACTCACTTATCAAGGGGCAACAACTTTTCTATGCAGAATCCCCACCATGACCTCTGCTGCTACACACGGCAGTGCAGTTCACTCTGGGGGCCCTATTGGGAAAATCACTTTCAAGTGATTTCTGTCATCAAAACAAACTCTAGTCCTATTAAATCAATTGGCCCAGCATGATGTGCTAACTTGTAATCCCACCTTCAAATCAATACCTCGGTGTATTCCAAAAAGCCAGGCATGAGACCCTTAAGTGCCAAGCAGTATGGCAGGAGAGTTCATTATGCCTGCTAGTAGAATAACTACATCTGAAAGATGTTCAGGGACTTGAAGCTTTTCAACCCAAACCTTCTGCCACCTTGTAGATCACAGGAGGGGGCAGACTGTTAAAAAGAAGASCCTGTTTTCAGGACTGCAACCAGACCCGCAAGAGGACCAGGAGCCAGCATCTCAGCTGTGAATTCTCTGTGCACTAAGACACGGGCTCCCTGGGTACCTCTGGSTACATATGTGCTCCTTGCAAGAAGTAGCTAATGAGCTACCAAATATACTCCCCATTAGAGACTAGAAATCAGGCTGCCATGGTGACATGCTGTGCTCAGGACACATTATGTGTTCAGGGAGTCCTTCAGAGCAGTGCAAGTGAGGCTTGGAATAGAGAATCAAGCCCCAAAAATGTATTTTAATTCTTTAATAGGCCTCTTCATTCACTGATGCTATAAACAGTAATGGAGCTAGAAACAGCCCTTTCCCTCCCTAATAAAGTGTTAGTGAGCTGTGAAGGCTAAAAAAACCTGTAACAGAATCATAAAGATTTAAGTGGGGAGGACACATTGTGAATATGAAGTGGTGGTCAAAGGATTTACAACCTCCTGAGTGGGTTTTTTTAATGAAGGATAAGATATAAGAAGAAAAAGAATAAAAACATCTTGAGAAGTTTTCTGAGCTGGATTCCATTGAGCTTAATTCCATAGAGCTTAATTCCATCCACAGCCCTAGAGACGCACATTTGATTATTCCCAGAGAAGGCTCAGAAACAGCCAGCACAAGTTTCCCTTATTATAACCTTGCTGCATCTTAATCCCAAGATGCATCCATCATTCCCAAGTGTGGAGAGCTCAGTGTATGTGGTACATAAAGCCCTATGCTTGGCACAAATGCAGTTAAGAAAAGGATGCTCATGTAGGACAGTTGTCCTGTCCGAGCTAGACCATGACTCCCATGTTTCCCAGAGAAGGCAGACAATGGAAGGAATTCTGGTTGCTCCTAGGTTTGTTTGTGGAGAAAGAAAACTCTGTCCCAGCTAGGCACCAGGCTCTCCCGTCTGCCCTGGTGACCAGCTTACCTGAGAAATCTCATCTCTTCATCCTTTTTCTCATCCTCACTGATGATCTTTGAGGTGGTGACGCTCACTTCTACTCCATCCACCACAAACTTCCGAGTCCGCTTCAGTGTCTTCTTCTGCATCCGAGAATCCTGACATTCAGCAAGGGAAGAAAGAAAGAGACCATGAAGTGGGCTCCCTGGCTTACCATGCAGGATGCTACAGCTGAAAGTCTCAGAGCAACTTCCACGATGCTGCTAATGAAGAACATAAGCAAGGAAACTGCATCAAGCAAAAATCCACAGCAGATTTGAAATTCCAGTTCCAACCATGCAGCCTTGCTTACTATCATGATGCTGATTTCCACCCTCCAGAAGCATGCTCTGGAAGAGAGACAACCCACCACCCTGAGGACCCTTCCCTGCTTTGTGTAACAGAAGCTGAGTCTGACGGAGGATATTGGGGCCTCACTGCACAGCAGCACCTGGGAACCACATGAAACGTGAAGTTTGCAATGTTTCCCTTTAAACTTCTGGGGCCATCTGACCCTCAGGTCCCCCCAGCACACCTGCAGATCCAAGGCAAGCAAGGCTCCGCGTCAGGCTCACAATTCCAGACAGAACTGCATGGAAGCAAGCCAAGCTTGCCTGAAGGCATGGACCATATGTCTCTYTGGCTCTTGTTACAGTGCTTAGCTAATCACAAGCGGCTCCAAGCCCCTCGGTGACCTCCACAAAGCAAGCCAGGCTCGCTTCCACTAGGGTAGGTGGAGACAACTGCCAGGAGCCGTGCTCTGTCTCGGCCGCAGCACAGCCAGCCTGCATTCCTCCTGGACTGATGCATGGAGCACGGCTGCACAACTGGGCCAGGCAGGCAGCTTCTTTGGCAAAAAGGTGGGGATATGAATGACTTAAATCCTATGGTCCTACAGGGAGAGCGCAGTGGTGGAATGGGCAAGCACTCCCCAGGTTCCTCTTGCTCTTGCTCCAATCACCATTATGGAGGAGACAGCTCAAGAGCTTCCCGTGAGTCCCAGAAGCCCAGAGCTTGGTGGCCCTCAGAAAGCTTGCTGCAAGGAGCCAGAGAAACCCTGAGGGTGAGCAACTTGCTAACTGCAGAACCACATACTTGCCCATTCATGGTTAAACCAACACGGCAAGGCAGGTGCAAGAAGCCTTGCATGAGCTGTGCATGTGCATAGCTTAACTCATACAGGCCCTTATTGCCCCAAATGGCATTCGAGTGGCAGAGCTGGGAATCCCACACTAGCAATCTGAGCAAAGGCCAATATTAGCGTTGCTGAGCTGCCCCTCAGGCAGGGCTCRTGCGGCACGCTGGCTCAGGCAGGCAGGACAGCACCGAGCTGCACCGCAGGGCTCTTCCTCTGCCGCCACGCACGCGGCTCCCGAGCTTATTCATGAGGCTATTCAAACTTAGATCTGCAACTAGAATTATTCATTTTCTCCTGGCTTTTGCTGTTGTCCCTTGGTAGAGGGTCAAGATCCTCTGCTGAACATGACCAAATGTATTTCCATGACACTTCTGTGAGATGTTATATTCCAAACACAGCAAACTGACTGTGAGAAACAGGTCACTGGGGMCACTGACTTTGTGTGCCCACTCTGAGCACATTTTGCAGTGTAAGTCATAGCAAGTCTCCTCCAGCTCTCAAGGGTTTTAGCAGAAGCTGTGAACACTCACTTCTCATGCAGATCAGGCACCAGAAGGTCAAGCTGCATGCTCAAACCCAGGACCTCCTGCACAAGCAGTCACCTAAACTTTGCAGTATAGCAATAAAAAGCATTTAACCATTGATGCTTATATCAGAAATGCTTTAACTCTTTGCTGTATCTTCTTTTGCTGCAACATGCCCGGCACATTTACAGGGAAAATGCAATCAAGGTGAGAGTAAAACTTGGGAGGGGAGTTTGGCTCTGTGCGGTGAAGCCTGAACCAAGAGCTTGTGTGATGCTCTGTGTGGACAGGAGGAGAAGGCAGTGAGAAAACCCTCCTCCCCAGGTCCCTCCTGCATCTCTTCAGTGTAGAAGTAAACAAAGAGGCACAGATATTTCCTGCAACTGTAAACAGGAACCCCTGGAAATCGCAAAACATCCCAGCATGGGGTTGCCCCAGCAGCTGGGAGGAAGAAGAATTCAGCCTTAAGGGTAATTCAGTGTATTGAAAATGCTGAGGCACAACTCTCTGATCTGGGTACAAAGAGCAGAAGTACGTGCCTACGCTATGGGCAAAGCAATGTGCATGTGTGGTTTCTTGCTTCTGTTGTGAAACTTGAATCAAAACACTCAGTGCAGCCTGACCAAGAGAGACCCAGAGCTGCCTGGGATCGGAGCAGCACAGACATGACCAGGGGCACTGGTGGTGGGCTGGGAGCTCCCATGGAGGTCTAGCCCAGACGCTCATCTTCAACCRCAGACCTGGGCAAATCATGTCAACTGAACTGTGTCTGTTGCCCCGTTGATGTCCACCCGTCTGTCCCATAACAAGGACCATGGTTTTGGTCTTTAGAGGATTAGTATTTTCCAGGAGTCTCACCTGTCTCTTGCATTGTGGCTAGGTGAGAGGAAGCAGCACAGCCCAGTACCTACCCCAACACCAAATCTCAAGGGTGCAAAATGCACCCTTTACTTTCCRGTCTCAAATAGTGAAAAAAAAAAGAAGTGAGAGGGCATCCCTGTGCTGCAACAACGGTGTTCTCGGAGAAGAGCATTAAAAGAGAGCCTTGCTCAGAGATATGTGATTTAGTTTGGTCTAAGCAAAGGGTCAAAGCAAACTGCAATCTCCTACCATCTCTTTTCGAGACTTAAACCCAGTAAAAGTCCAGACAACTCCCTTTCTAGGGGATCCACCAGGGAGAGAATCACGTATGTGACATGGTAGGCATCTCTGGCTGCCCTCTGTGGTGACCGTGGCACCAGGAGGGCTAGYGCAGAAGGGTGAGTTGCTCTGCAAGAGCATCAGAGCATTCACGCTTGCCTTGTGAGCACAGAGCCAGGCTCACTGCAGGCTCCTGGTGGGGAGGCCGGCTGTCACGCTCACAGCAGCAGAGAAGAGGTGAGAAAGTTGTGCCAAGAATGGTATTTGGGCATGTTTGTATGCTGGGAAACGCTCACTTATGCAGGCAGGCAGATAAAGATCGTGTGCAAAACAAATCTCTGCCCCTTCAAGTCACACACATTACTTCATCTGTAGCTCAGCAAATATCATTCCAGTTATTTTGTGTCTTCAATCAAAGCCAAAAAAAAAAAAAAAGGCAGCCTGGGAGGTCTTAGTGCAAGTCACTACTGATGCAAAGCAGACCAGTGTATGGCAGGTTGGAAAAATCAAAAAGTGCACCAGCCCAAACAAGCTGTCTCCTTGGACCAAGAGTTTAGGCAAGAGTCATATAATGATTGACAGCCTATAAAATTTAGGAAATCATATTTTGCATTTCTACACTTAAGCTTGCTCAGCCTGCATACAACTGCAAAAGCCAGGTCAGCAGCACAGTTAATTCGTGCTTGTCAGAAACCCAAACGAACTGCAGCATGAGTTGAATTTTGGGGATAATATACTGGGGTATATACTTTGGGGATAACACTCTTAAAAAGGAGAAAAAAAAAAGAAAAAGAAAAATCCCCCACTACTTCCTAATAAGAGGTTTGCCCCCTTTCCACTTTACACCCTCTACCCATCACCCTCACCTTCAGAGACAGAGAGCCACTCTCTCTGTTGAGGGACAGGTCAGCAGACAGCGAGATGGTGAGGTCCATGCTTTCTGAAGCTGAAGTGCTGCCAGAATCCGAATCTCTTTTGTACCGGTTGCTGGAAAACGGAGCCGAGGAATCCAAGCTCCCATTGGCAAGTTTATCCTCCGTGAAGTTTTCCAAGTGGCTGCTCTCTGGCCGGTCCCCGATGCTCTTGTGCTCTTTGCTGGCTGGCCCTGGCTGCTTGTTCCCTTCAGTTGAATTGCTCTGGGTGCTGAAGGCAACTTCTCCACCTTCTGTGCCAGTAGCAGCAGAGCTGGTGACACCTTTCATATGGTGGTTGCTCTCCATTTTTTTATTGTCACTGCCTATCTGTTCATCTCCCTTCACTTTATTGCTTTGTCCATCTGCAATTTCCCTTCCAGCCTCCACAGGCCCGTTARCTATCATGGGTGAGGAAGAGTCTGGAGGTTTCTCCCCATCAAAACTCATCTGACTCGCTTCAGAGGGATCTCGTTTGTGCTTCCCAGGGGGCTGAAAGGACACAGAGGGAAGATGTTGGACTTTGCATGGAAAGCAGGAAGGTAGAGTTATCATAGGTAGGAGAAACCCACATTCAAGACCCAGAATTACAAACTCAAGGACAGGTATTGTGGCTATTCTTGGGCAAGAGACTTGCATGTCTCCTGCAGAGCCCTCACCATCACTTTAACACAGTGCGAAAGCCATAAATCTTCATGCCTCAGAGTAAAGGTACCCACAGCTAAAGAGTTATCAGGGAGAAATTGCCTCTTCCTGGAGACATCAGTCCTGGAATATTTATATCTTTCTCCAGGTAGGTTGTCCTTAGAGCTATGGGCATTAAGGGAAAGGAAGAGGAAACTAAGAACCACAGATTCTTCAGAGACAAGCTAAGGTTTTCCATATYGAACCCCCTTTCTCTTGACTAATACCAGCACGGTCCTTTGCCATGGGTTAGAGAAGCCCCGGCATCTCCTGCTGTCCAGGAACCCTGTTATCCTTCCAGTAGACCCAGCACAGGGCTTTGCCAGGCTCTATCCTAAAGCTGGCAGTGCCCTCACTTCTGTCTCACAGCCGCCCAGCCCTTGCTTCCCCTCCAGCTTCTCAGGCTGCTACCAGGCCCTGTTTTTCAGCTGAAAAAAAAAGCTGTTTTTCAGCTTTTTTTTTTTTTTTTTTTTTTTTTTTTTTTTAAGGTCATGTCATTATTTCTTTCTGTGGCCAGGAAAAGAGGTGGCATTTCCTAACCTCTCCCGGAATTAGGAAGCATGGATTGCATGCTCCATGCTTTCCCAATCCAGAGCTCTTCCCACACAGAGCCCACGCAGGCGCCACGGGGAGGCACCAGGCTCCGCATCCTGCGGCCAGCCTCCCAGCTCTCGCCCGGGGCAGCACATTGTCACAAGTCCCTCCTGCTAAAGGGCTGCCTGGCCACTGGCCAGCGGCATTGTTTTGCCGTGCCCTTGGTGGCCACGGGAAAATGGTCCCTCCCTGATGGGGAAACTGCTTTCCTGCCGCCCCGACGGGAGTGACGCGGTGGCAGCCCTCTCCCCAGGGGCTGGGAGCCGGGAAATCCTTAGTGCCTGGCCTTGCGGAGCCAAGGAAGGGGCAGGGCTCCTTCCTGCACAGCGCTGTGCCACCRGCAAGTGAATTGGGGCTGGGGAAGGGGCTGCAGCGCTCACCGAGGCAGACTCCGATGAGTCGTCCTCTTCTGCGTCCTCCCGGCTGTCTTCAATCTCCTCCATCACCTCAGCCTTCGCCTCCGCCACCAGCTCGCGCAGGGCCCGGTTGCTCGTGACCTTGCTAACGAAGGGGTGCTGGAAAGGCAAGCGTGACACACGGGCGTTAGGAGGGCAACGAAGGGGCCGCGCAAGGCTGTGCTGGAGCACGGGGACAGGAGCTGCAGGGCTGGCATTGCCGGGGCAGCCGAGGAGCCTTCCCTGCTTATAAACAGTTGCAAAGACCTAGGGACACGGCTCCTGCYGGTGTTGGCAGGCATAACCCCATGAATGAATCCACAGCTTTTTGCAGCGCACGTGYGAGAGAGGAAGACGCGGGTGCCGAGGCCAGGCGCGCAGAGCGCAGCTCGAGGCTGCAGCATGTCAACAGCCACCCAACAAAAGCAACAGCTGCATTTAAACAAGGGGCTCTCACCGCAGAAGACATCAATTAAAGAGGTCCTCTCCTCGCAACTGGAGGGCTGGGGGGCAGCAGTCAGGCCTCCTGACTCTGCAGGGAGCCTCCTGCTAAGGAGGGAAGGGCAGATCGTTCAGGAAGCATGAGTGCAAACAGAGCTGGTGGGGAGCATTTGCCAGCAGCAAAAAATAAAAGGAAGAAGGGGAGGTACTGCTTTTTTTTCCCCTACTTTTCAAGGGGACAGGATGGAAGGAAAGGAAAAGACTCAAAATCTGGCATAACACAAGCTGGCTGCAGCACTGGTACTTTTAGGAAATGGGAATCCATTTCTGTTCCAGCTGATGTCCATAGGAGCTCTGCAGTTGGCTCCAACTGGGAAAACATCACTACTCCTCCATAGAGCATTTTAGTGGATGAAAGGTACCAAGCAAGAACAAACTACTCTGAAACAGTCTACGGGTTTTGTTTGTTTGTTTTGTTTTTTTAATTCTCTTCTTTAAAAAGAGAAAAGATTCTCTTTTTTATTAAAAATAAAAAGGTGGGGGGAGAGAGAAAGATACAGAGAAAAGAACCAGGATGTACCAGAATGGGAGGTCCAGACACCTAAAGACTCATAAAGACACAGGCACAACCACAGGTCCAGCCCGGGGCTGGTGCTGGCCCCTACCTCCAGCAGCTGTGCTGCATTTGGCCGGGTCTCCGGGTTCTTGTCCAGGGCAGTCTTCAAGAAGTCTCTGAATTCTTTGGACCTTTAAACACAAATTTGCAGAGAAGGTTACGATGCTTGGGAGAAATGCCCATTCCTAGCTTTGTGGCCCAGCTTGCTTCCCGACAGAAATCCTTCTAGCCTACAGCACAAAATGCAGCAGGCATCCTCCTAGGAGCCAGGCCCAGGCTGGCTGGCCACATGCAGGACCCGCAGCCTCCACCTTACCATTTGGAAGGGCAGCTGAGCGTGGGAGGGTCGGACTTGGCGATCTTCAGCAGGACTCTCATGGGGTTGAGCTCATGATGAGGCGGCTCGATCTGGGCCATTTCGATGAGCGTAATTCCCAGGGACCAGATGTCAGCCTTGTAATCGTACGGAGTGTCTTTCATGGTCTCGCACATCACCACCTCCGGGGCCATCCTGCAAGGGGCAGAGCAAGAAGCAGGAATAGGGAGGGATTACACCACTGCCATTGCCACACACATAAGCCTCATGACCATGACTCAATACTTTAAATATTCTACACCATGGCACAAAAATGGCCTTTCTTATTAGCTCCAGGTTGAGGAAGAAGCAGCATCTTTGCTTAAGGGACCGGTCCAATCTCCTCTAACCTCCTCCCTCTTCCTCTGATCAGCCGAGACAGCCTGTGAAAACCCTCTGGCCACTGACATCTGGCACGGACACGGCCTCAGACAACAATTAATACTCGCCCGATCCGTTCCCTCAGCGAGCTGGATGATTTAGAGATTACATTTCTGCAGCAAGGGGTTGTTCTCATGTGCCTGGAGCTGCTTCAAAGGCCGGGCGGCCACCCGGGGAAGGGGAGCGCTGAGCGCACACACGCAAGCACACGTGTGTCCCGCACGCCTCCAAGTCTGGAGCCTTGCAGCCTCTGGGGCTGGCTCCGTGCACCGTGACCGCTGCTCCCTCTGCACCAGGGAAACCTTTCCACATGGGAACGCCACTCCAGACTCCTCATTACATGGATCTCAAATACCAGCATGCCCATGTCACTGGGCACGGCTGGTTTTCAGAGAAAGGATCTCGTGGCTCCTTATGAACACTGGATTTCTTACAAAGCAGCTCACCCACCAGTAAGGGGTTCCGATGAAGGAATCTCGCTTCTGCAAGGTTTTCAGGTTTTTGGCAGACACTCCAAAGTCAGCTGCAAAGAGCGGTAACATTAGAAGAATTAAGAAAACTSAAAGGCTCTTCTGAATTAGCACACTTGGCTGGAATTCAGATTGAAAAGCWAATGCACATGTAAAACAAGAACATGATAGTGTGCTGTTTCTTCTAAATTGAGCATTAGAAATTAAACTTATTTTTATGTACATAACCACCAAGGACCTTCCCCTCCTTCGCATGATATAGCACGAGCATTTTAAGCCCAAAATCTACATATCTAGAGGGAAGACCTTTTCCCAGAAAAAAAAGGAAAAAAATCAGCGGGTCTATGGCTGATTCCTCTTAGCACTGCTATTTGGTAGCAAAAAGTCTCCGTCATTTCATCAGAAAAAAAACAAAGCACTGTTACATTCTCTCTCTTCCCTTCAACCCAATACACAGTAGTCCCTGAGTGACATCATTCCCTGATTTTCCTTCCAAAAGRAAACTGCTGAAGTCAACCCAGACTAAGTCAGTAGGACATGCAGAAGGTACTGGGCCTGCTCCAGGTCAGCTCTCTCTGATGGCCTCCGGAGGAGCTGTTGTTCATTTTGCACCCCTAGACTGAAGGTACCTCTGCTAGTGGCTCTCCTTGGCAGAAACCAGGAGGGTAATTCCTATGTCAGAGCTCAGCCCACGGTCGCATGAAGGTTTCCATCTTTCTAGGCTGGCTGTGCATGGCTTCCCATTTCTCAAGATAGGAGTACCCATCCAGCACCCACAGAAACATCACATGAACTTCCCACAGTGGCTCTGCCTCCCTGGTATGGTCTAGTAAGAGATTTCCTCTTTTCTGACCAGGCCACAAAGTTACCTTCTCATCCCTCACTACGTAGCTGGAGGTGAATTTAACTCAAGCCCATAGCAAGCTGGCAAAGCAACTCGTTGGCAAACCCTGTCCTGTCACTAGCAGATCTGCTCTGGATAAAAGACAAATTCCTTCAGCTTCCAGCCCTGCCAACTGGCACCTTTTATAGGTTGCTCAGTGGGCCAAAAAGCATAAAAATGAATTCAAAAAGTGATTAAACAAATCCATGAGAGAAAAGTCCATGAAGGCCCAGCTCTGCTTTGTGAAATGTCCAGGCCCTGCATTGCTGGGGGATGGAAGGCAGTGCCCTTCCACYTTCCTCATCCCAATGTAACATTGGATGGACCCAGAGCAGCTCTTTTTTTGTCCATCRTTCTTTGTTATAATTTTGTACTTGCAAAAGGGGAATATCTCTCTGAAAATAAGTTAAATATAAGATAGAGACATTAATAACTGGGGGAGCCCCTTGGCTCTCGCCTGCAGCGCTCATGGCACAGAGCTCCCCAGGTGGTGCCCACGGCCGCTTCCTGAACCAAGTCAAGCCATGTGGCTCACTGAACAGCACGAAGGRATTTGTGAAAAGCCACAGGAGCAATGCCCTGAAGGCAATGAGAGGTGCATGYACTGCAGCCCACTCCAAAAACTCAGTCACTAGTGGGTCCCTATTTTGGGGGACTAGTTACTACAGGTTAGAGGAACCCATGGGGCAGCATGTTTCCAAGAGCTGACCAGAACTACTTGTTTTGGACCCATCTTTTCTCACAGTGCTTTGTGCTCCAGCAGGGATATTTTCTCTTTCCAACTGCTTCCCTCTTGGTCTAGTCTTTCAGCCACAAGGAGTTAACAGACAACATCCCTGCGTTTCTACTTTCAGCAGATATTAACAGAACTCCTCAACAAAAAACAGCACACAACTTAATGGTAAATTTTGCAGCGTCCCCCATCCTTTCCTGGCCAGGCTCATGGAGAAGCAGGGCTGCAGACAAGAAGGCCCCTGACAGCCACAGCCCTCTACTCCCGTACACATGGCAGGAAGGAGAAACCATCCATCACTCCCATGAAGTATCTGTGCACAGCTCAATGCTAAAACACAGATCCTGCAATGGCAGCACGTGGCTGCTCTCAGTTTCATATCCTTGATGGCCAGCACTGCAAGGAGCTCAGAGTTCTGCACGYGCTGTGGGCTTGTGCCACCTCCTCGCCATGGGAATGCTGCAGCATTGCATGGAAAGCAGCCGCGGAGCTCCCGGTGCAGTACGGCCTACCCAGCTTGATGTCTCCATCCTGGGTGAGGAGCACGTTGCCTGCCTTCAGGTCCCGGTGGATGATCTTCTTGCTGTGCAGGTAATGCAGGGCTTCCAACATCTGCCGGCAAATCACTTGAATCTGGGGCTCAGTCAGGCCTCGGTCCAGCTCTAGATGGAGAGATGGGATTTGAGCTGCAGCTCTGCTCAAGGAGCATCTGAAGCCAGCAAAGCAGGAGGCACGTTCAAAACCCACCGCCCCTGTGTCACGGCGGCAGGACAGCAGTGCAAACCAGCCTGCGAAGGTAACTCATTCCCCAAGACAACAGCAGCACTGCAAAGCCTCTCGTGCTCACAGCTGGGAGTTTATAGGCACCTCCTGGGGTGCCCGGGCATGGCATCTGGCCCAGGAATAGCTGTTGCGAGAGATCCAGGTGTGCCTGCGTGTAGGTGTCGGAGCTTCCAACCATCTGGGTATTTGGGAAAGCAGTCTCTGCTGGAGACCTTGCGGAGCAGCGCGGGGCTCACCCGGCGTGGGGCCAGCAGGGGAGCAGTGCAGAGCGCGGGGAGCTGGCGCGCTCGGAGCAGGCGCAGGCACACGTGCGAGCTTGGCATGCCCGCCGGGATCCGCTCCTGCAGGAGAGGTCCCCCGGCTCTGGGAAYGCAGCCTAGCGCCATGAACGCAGCCAAGTCCTCTGCTTGTCAGAAGAGACAAGCCATCTTCCAAAATGACAAGGAGTAAATGACTGGCCGCGTTACCCTCACCTGCTGAGCTGATTCTTCATGCAGCAGCAGGAACCAGCGCGCTCAGATCAYGCCTGGCGTCTGCCACTATTTCTGAAGTTTTGGGGGCATACGCAGGAACTGAAGCTACCTTCCCACTRAGCTCTGCGAGGCCAACGTGCTCTCCCTGCCTGCTCTCCAAGACAGTGCCTCTGCAAACCATCAAAGCTCCAGATGGTAACCATCATCCAAGGAGGTTYCCTCCCTCTATCCAAGCCCCTCGCAGCGCGTGCCCTCCCCCCAGTTGAGTGYACAGCAGATCTCGCCTGAGCCAGCAGAACCAGCCTTATAGACCCCCCAAATGCATCTATTGTATGGCTAAGATGGGGGCTGACTGACRGACTGCTGCAAGCAGGACAGATGGCCTTTCAGAGCAAGATCTTAATCACAGAACCAGAGATGCTGGATCAGCTATTCTGTTCCTCCTCCACTGCTGCTTTTCTTCCTCACAGAGCTCTCATTTGCACTGAATGCAAATGCTGATTTCATTTACTCTCTCCACAGACAGGCACAACGTGCTGTGGTCATCTCGGCGAGGGGATGGCCCCTGTGTCCGTGCAGCGCCGGGGCTKTGCAGAGGAGCAGTCCCTGCAGCCCGGGCAGCTGCTGGCTCCTGGGCTGGTGTTGGGAAAGCCCACATGCTCCTGGTTCCAGCATGCAAGGGAGGAGTTAAAAATGGGAAGATTCCTGGAATTTCTGCAAATTGCAGTTTATTATGGAGCTTGCACTATTTCGCCAGATGACTACCATACGGAAAGTCTGTGAGAAGATCCTGAAAGATTCATTATGATGGCTGTCCAAATGAAATCTCAGCCCCTGTTCCCCRTCCCAGGAAACTGTGGGAAGAAGATCCCAAGCACCTACACTTTAGGCAGATAAATATTTACAAATACTTTTCCCCTTCAGCCAGACTCTCCCTTCTCCCCTTTCCCCTCCACACCTCGTGATCTACTAATCCCAGCAGCATTTACATCAGAAAAGGACATTCAAAGTAGCTAAAGAAACACCCCAGCACTGCCACACCTTGTGCTCTAGGTAAGAAAATAGGCAAAATTTGGGAGAGAAATAATAGCTGGAGAGACCAGGTCACACACATGTGCCAGCTTAAAGCTGCACCTGGAAATGCCTTGCAGGAAACCCCCAAGCAAAGAGGAGCCTGTGGAGCAAACAGTGACGGCCAGGCGGGTGCCACGGCCAAACGATGGCACCGCACAGCACTCACCCAGCATGGTGGCATCCACGGCACCTCCCGGGCAAAACTCGATCATGATCTAGGGAAACAGAGAGAGAGGAATTAKGCAGGCAGGTCCGCGTGTCACTGCAGCAAGCCCACGGGTGGGAAACGGGCAAGGGGACCCGCTCTGGCGCTGCCCACGCGGAGACATCCCCACGCCGGGGACACGCGGAGCCTCGCTCGCCCTACCTGGAAACCCCGCCGGAGTGGCCAGGGTCAGCTCTGTCTCGGGCGTGTTTACAGCCTTTTCACTTGCATTTGGAAGCGCAGGCTGTTCCAGGGATGCAGGCTTGCCAAGAGGATGAGATAGCTGACATAGCAGGGAGCTGACGTGGCCGGGAAACTCAGGCAGGATTTKGTTTTGAAAATAAGAGATGGGGAGGGCTGCTTGGGCCTTATTCCATCTCCCTCATTTTTCTTTTCTTTCCTTTTTTTCCCCCCTTTTTCATTGCTCAGTAGTTCATTGCTCTCCTGATTTCGAGCAGCTTGAGGGCAGAACACGTCAGTAAACAGCTTGAATGTGTTTGCCAGATTGCTGCTGCTTCTGCCCCCTCCTCGACTTTTCCCCCTGCCCTTGCTGAAGTGACACAGGGCAACACAGCGGAGAGGTGAAATGCCAGAGTTTACTTTGAGGACAGCGACTGCGCAGACTGAAGCCAACGTTTACTAGCGAGGCTCCCTAAGCCAGAGCTGCCCTTAGAACGGACCTCACGTCATTGAGCTCCACTCTGAGCCCTGGACCCAGGGGACCCTGGAGCCCAGGGGAGAAGGTTCAAGTTCCTTCTTTCCCAGAGCCTAATTCAGCAGCTCCAGGCAGGTCACCTCCTGCTCTTCTGTCCTCCAGTTTCTACATGTTTACAGGAGGAAACAGTGTTTCCCCGTCCCGAGCGTGGTGGGGGACACAATTCCCAGGTACTCTGTCCTGGACACTGCGTAGTCCAAATCGCTCGGTGAGAATGGGCCTGGGTCCAAAAGCGAGAGGAGGAACAATGCTGAGAAGAGAAATGCAGACAGGTTGGGTAGCATTGCAGGGCACAGTTAGAGGAAGCTGAGAAGAATAACCAGAGGCCAGGACTGGGGAAGTGTTTTAAGGAGGCTGGGGAACAGGCAGATAGTGAGAAGCGATTGGAGAGATGTTCAAAGGACGTGTAAACCAGGAGAACAACTCAGTGCTGACTTGGAGCCAAGCGGAAGTCTTGCAGGGAGGAAGGGAGTGGGACAGCAAAGCCCATACAGCAGCAGGCAATGTTGTTACCACACTACTTCTTGCTCGACTTTGAAYCAGAGCATCACCAGCTTCACTAGGAAACAAAAATGCAAGAATTGCTTCCTGATGCCATTTCCCAACTCACAGGATTCAACACTGGCTCCTTTTTCCCCCATCATCATCCTAACACAGATCTAAAAGGCTCCTTTTAACCAGTGACTTCTAGGACATTCCTCCCCACATTCACRGGCTACCTCCCTCCACCCAGTGCAAACCTGGAATGCACCGAGCTGGAAGCAGTGAGGTGCAGGACACAAAACCCCCAAACCCGCACACCAACCCCAGCCCACCAGCTCAGGGGGCAAGGGACTTTCAGCATAAATTCCCCAAACGGAGCTTTGTAGCTGCTGCCTTACGCCTTTGCCACCGTGTCTCTGTGTGTGTCCCAGCTGAGCAAAGTCCCCYAGGATTTCACGCAGCTCCTCTGGCAGAGCCTCCACACATGGGAGTCGATTTTTAATTCCTTGGGCATAGGCAGGACAGTGACAAACAGCACAAGGCAGCGCAGCCCTCTCAGCACCTGCACACCTGCACACCTGGGTAGGTGCAAATCAATTTTTGGTGCATTTCATATCTCCCCAGACCGCCATATGCTGCTCTGCAGCCTAGAAAGAAAGTTAGCAAAATTAGCAGGCCTGAAACTGCATGAATGTGTCTGTCCAGGTGCATACAGCAGGCTGCAAGCCAAGCATCAGGAACATGGAAAGTATGGAAAATTTAAAAATACTTTAAAATATGCATTTCCAACAAGGGCAGAGATGCTAAAGAATAACTAAGAGTGTGCCTAGACGGTCTGAACATACAAGAACCTAGCAGGTTCATATCAGCACAGAAATCCTGGTTTAAATAAATGCAATGCAGTCCCACCACTCACGTGCTAGTGCTGGAGACCTGCTGTTGCTTGGGGAGGGGAACACGACGTGATGTGCACACTCATAGACACGCACACATCCCTCCYAGGAGCATCTCAACGAAAATCTTACCATGAAAGCAGTAGGGGTCCAGACCCAGCATCAGCAGCAAACACACAAACAAGAGAGCGGAGGGATGAGGGGGCAGGAATTGTGCTGAGAGCCAGGCTGGACACCATGTAGACATCCCCAGTGGGATCAGAGAATAGAGGGAATGATCTCCTGGTCGCTGACCCCCTGGGACAGCACCCTGGTGGTCTGGCTGGAACGAGGAATGAGTTTAGAGACCATAAAAAAGAGCTGCTGACAAGAGCCTCGCATCGGGGCAGCGACTGTGCTGTGATTTATTGCAGGGTCCTGGGTACAGATTAACCTTTTGCTCTGGATTCTTTATGCGCCTGAGCATGCAGCGTGAGTACATCTTTCTTCATGCACCCCATCCTTCCCCACGGCTCAGGGCGAGCCCCATTTCCCCCACACTCAGAAGGGATGTGCAGACAGCAGGGAGCAAAATCCATCAGGCTCTCAGTTGTCCCCAGCAGTTCCCCTGTTAAGCACAAGATCCGTCTCTGTCTCCAACACCCAGGTCACAGCTTCAAYCCCAGGGTGAGCAGCCCGCTCGGCGCTGCCCACCGGGGCCGCGTGGCTCAGCAGAGCCCGGCTTGCCATGGCTTGGAGCGGGGACATCCTGTTTGTAACGACTCCCGCCGCGCAGCAAATCCAGGGACTTCCTTGCCGAAGGCTGCTTCGCCTATGTGCCGCGCTGGCTTCCTGCAGAGCAGGCTCAGCGACAGCAGGAGCTCTGCCGCCTGCCCCCGTGTCACAAGCGGTTGTAAATCCTGCAGCCTGTGCACGTTCAGCGCTTCGACTTGCGAGCCCAGAGGCAGTTGTGGCTGCACCTCTCCGCTGAGCAGAGCTCTGCACTAGCTGCTGCCAGGGCAGGACCGACAGGCTTCTTTCAAGCCCAGCTCAGGCTCAGCACATCAGAGCAGCAGCACCAAAAGCAAGAATCCTGGCTGTCCTCGGGGGACAGCAGGCACAGCCTCCAGGCTAACAGGGCTCATGGCTGGCGAGCACTTAAAAACAGAGGCAAAGTCACCTCRGGCACCCTGGCCACGTGCCAGTTTTCTGCTGTTCAGTTCTTGGGCAGTGGAAAGGGTGCAGGCTACAGCTCCCAATTCGGACGGGAGCAGGACTTTGCCCCAGTTTAGTCTGGGATTGACAGGGATGCCCAAGGTGCACCTGCAGAAACCAATCCCAGCACCTAGCCTATGGACAAGAAAGGACCCTCTCAACCCTTCCCACCACCATTTGAGAGCTGTCATTTCAAGAAACGATCCCTTCCCCCTATTCTCAGGGAAGATGCCAGCATGCAGCATCCAAATAATCCGTTTCCCTAGGCCTCTGGGGCCTTGTCTACTTGGCACACACAAGACTCAAAGCAAAAGTTGACACAAGTTAAAGGACATTGCCAGTGACCCGGAGTTTTTCCCATGGCTCATCCTAACTGTGCCTCTTGGCACAACAGATCCTGGGAAGCACTTTGTGGCCGGAGTTGGAGAGACAAAGTGCAGAGGGATGTCCCTTGAATTTTATGAACTACTCRAGCATTACATGACTGGCTATAATGAGAGGAAACAGAGTGTGAGGATCCTGGAGTTCCTCAGAAAATATGTACGTGTGCATGAAACCACTCTGCTTTAAATTGGGAGCTTTTAAAGACAAGGGTCTGCAAGAGGTACCATATATAATGAAAAAGCATTATATGACTTKGACATTTAAATCAGTAGATCAGATATAGATCAGATTTTGGGCCCTCTAGCCCTTTCCTGGTGTAAGTTGGTGGAGGGACTCCTACCCAGCCCAAGCCCAGACCTGATCACAGCTGTGTGCAATTTCTGGGACAGACCAACCAGGAATGACATCTTCTCCTGAGTTACTGAAGTCCTCCTAGGTTGGATTTTGAGAGCCTGCACCCTTCTCCCAGTCTGGGCAGAACTGCTTCTGCCTGGGCTCTGTTTAAATCCTTACAACTTTCCAAAACATTTAAATAGCTATATATAGATATATAKAGAGATAAGCAGATAAATAAAAGCTTATCTTGAAAGGTATTTTACCCAACACTGAACAATGCCCTGGGGTGGAACAGCTGATGTCCCTGAACTCTAGCTGAGATCTGCAATTGAAGTCCAATGAAGGAGGAGGACGCACCCTGAGCACGGCTCTTTACTCACCCAATTGGCATTTCAGAGGGCAGAGGCCCGCGAATGCTTCCCCGGCCGCGGCGCTGCCGAAACGCCTGCTGCGGCCAAGGAGCAACGCGCTGGGGAGGCCGGGGGCTGCCTCCCGGCACGGAGCCCTTCCCACAGCGGGACCCCTCGGCGCCAGGACGCGCTCGGCCGCCCTCGCGCCGCTGCCATCAGCCTGTGCCGCCGTGATGGGGTTTGAGCACCCGGCCCCTAACCTTGCAGCTGTGGCACCTCGGGGCATTGAGGCCATCAGCACAGTTTGCATCCCCAGGAGGTGCAGGCAATGCCAGGTCACCCCCATGCCACCGCTTCCTGCGCTTCCCGTGTTCCCTGCACTCCCTCCCCAGGCCCGCTGGGCCTGCCTAGCCCTGAGCTCGCTCAGCAGCCCAAGCCCTTCAGCAGCTTCCCCTCCCGATCAGCAGATGGGGGGTTTCTTTGCGGCATCACGGGRCCCCGCGTGGCACGGGACGCGACTCGGGGGCCACGGCACCAGCGAAGCGGCTGGTCACTCCCTGCACCTCACACCCATTGACAGGAAAGGCAGGAGAGAGAAGAGCAAATGGTGACACGTCCTGGGATTCAGAGCTGGCTGTGAAGGAGAAGAGGAGGG